AAGCCGGAATATGTTGACCTCTTCAAAACAACTGGCAACAGATTTCCAAGCCGAAGATAAATTTTTTCCGTAATGTAGTCTTGACAGACACTATTTTCAAAAGACAAGTAAAACTTGTGTTTACCTAGAATAAACTTGTTCTCAAAACCATCTACCAAAAAAAATTGTATTTGAGCGTTCTTTACACCTAAATAAGTGTCTCAAACTAGCCTTGAGCTTTCAAAAATTTCAGTAATCCTCCAAAATTTATTAAAAACGCATTTTTTTTGCAAAACTGATTGGTTTAAAGCAGATTAGTGCTAAATTAGGGCAGGTCAAGATCTGTAACATTATTATCATCTACACTCTGCTGCAAAGTCAAATGGCATTTTTTTAAGGTCATTATGACAGTTTTGGATCAGTAAAGCATGTCAGGCATACCAATGGCACGGTCTGCACACTCCTTTGAGCATCGTTTACCAAAACATTCGCCAAGTTGAGTAATGTTTATATGTTGCTTCAGTTGTTCAATGTATTTTTCTCGGCGAGATGGTGTATTACAATTAGACACAAAGTGCAGCACAAGATTTGGCCGTTCAAAAATAGTTTTCACAGACTGAAGAATTGTATCAATTAAATAAAATAAAAGCTAAAAATTCAGAAAATGCAGCTGCAGAAAAAAAAATTATTTCAGACAAGAATTTTATCTTTACATGTTGCACGAGTTCACTTTTTCGCCTACTTTCTTCAGTTCGAAGGAAATTACCATACGGAGTATATACATCTGCATCTGTCCTTAAAAACAGTCAAATAATTACTCCTGAAATTTTCATTTTTTAAAACATCTCGCACTTTCAAATTGTACTGATACTTGTTAAGTACTTAGTAAAACTGTTTTGAAAAATAATTTGAATTATCAAAAAATTTATTGTAATTGAAGAAGAGAAACTTAACGACATTAAGGAGAATAACCGTTTATTAATTCCAGTGAGATATTTTTGATACCAACTTTATTCTTTTCTAGGGAACATCTCCGCAGTAAAAATTTTTTCGAAAACAAGCGTGCAAACTACCGCATTTTTCTCAATGTTCACCGTTACCACTGAGAAAATGCAGTAATATTCATTTACTAAAACTTTCTGACATTTTTTTTTTTACACTTGTGAACTATACAAAAATGAGAAATTTAAAATGATTTTCGGTTAAATAGGCTGAAAAAGTCATTCAAAAGAAGGACTCGATAAAACAATATTTCAGAACAATATTCCTCATAAGCATATTGCTGCTATCGCAGAAAACCTGGTGAGAAGTAAAAGACAACCTTTTCGTGCATAAAAGCAGTAAATATCTACTTAACTTTATCGCACGTTTATTTATTTTTTAATTATTTTTATACTTTTAGACAGTCACTAAGACGAACCTGTTAGTCAGCAAGCCTTCTGTAATTGAAAATAGAACTACAAATAAGTATTTTACAGGTTTCACCTCAACTTCAACAGTTTGTGGGTATACACCAAGAAGCATTTTAAAAGTAGCTGGCAACAAAATGTTTAGACTTTAAAGATCTAGCTAAAGAAACGTTGTAACGTCAGTCACAAAAAAAGTCAGATAAATAGTTTCTTTGTTTTGCATACCGTTTTTTAAAAACAAGCACGATAATATATTTCAGTTAAAGTTTGAAAAAGAATAATAATTATTACCTGTATGTAATTGTCAGATTGAAAAAATCGTCTGGAATTTTGTAATGTTGACCACTTTTCGTTTTATATTTTTCGAACAAAACTGTGCCTATGTATTCAGGCGGTTCCAAAGTAAAAAATATATAATATTGCCTCGGTAGACGAATTGAAGGTAAATCATACGAACGCATATCAGATAGATGAAAAATAACTGCATCAGCAACTTGTAAATTGCTAAAATGAATAAAAATAATTTTGTAAATTTTAGTCAACATAAAAAACATTCAAGATAGATTGTTCTTAGATAATTTCTTTCCAGATTCGCGCAACAGCGTTTGAGTCTACCAGTTTAAATACCAACCTTCTGTTTTCAGTAACAATGCATTCATGCAGGCAGTCGGAATCTCTCATAACAGGAGCTAGGCGACTGCCAAAAAACTTATTCCACGTTAAAATTACTGGCTTTTTCTAAAATGTATTTTTTAACTTCTAGAACAGAGATGGGGAATACTGTTATCAGTAATAACTGACACGTTTTTGTAAAATTTTTGTCATTTTTTCTATACAACAAATACACGTTTCTTAATTTAAAAAGTAGCGTCACAAAAATAAATATCAATTTTCACTCACCTGAACAGACTTTAGTGTAGGAGTAATATAGGATAAAGTAGATGGTGAAAGTTTTCCTCCGAAGTACAACATAACTATTACACAGATACCGATCCCAGTAAGATATAATGTTTTGTTTGATAGCATCAACCCGACTGTTATCGACCAAAGTAAGTAATCAAATTTAACACATTAACCAAATTACAGAAGAAAAAAATTGTCGTTGTAACGTGCTAATAAGTTTCAAAAAAATAAAACGTTTAATTTTCAAAAATACCAAACCGATATCAGAGCAAAGGCGAAAAAAAAAGAAAGAGAAGAGACATATGTAGCGAAAATAAGATAAAGTGACAGTATATCCGGAATTGTAACATCTTTGTTCACTAAAGAAACAAAGCTGTATAATTGACGCGCAGTGTTTTTTAGATCAGTCGTTTACTCTGCGATAAACATGATTTTATAAGCTGAGTAAGAAGTAAACTAAAGTATAATTTTAAAAAATGGCTTTTTTTTTATTTTGAATAATTCAACTATGCAATATGCGTATTCCACGTTTCAGATAAAAAAAAGATTCTTTGTTCTAGACTTTCAGCAGTTGAGCACTGTTCTTTGATGGTTGGAGATGTTATAAATATTATGAAACAATTGATTTGACACATTTCTAAAAAGATTAAGGAGTTGATAAGATAATTGCTTCAAAGGTTGGTTTTTTGTTTTTTTTTTTTTAAATTTGCTAGTTTTTAAATTGTAAAAAGAAATGACCAAAGAGATTTTTTTTTAAAATCGATGGTCAAAATAATTTTTTAATTATGCTTTACTTTTCCTTCTTTTCTCTTGAGTGTAAATAGATAACATTCATATCACAATCATCTTCAGACGGCAGAGATTATTATACAGATTTTTACGACAATTTTTCTATACAGTTCTTCAAAACTTTTTGCCCACATATTTCCGAATTTCCCGTCAAGTGATCAAATCTTTTACCACCTCTTTTTTTTTCCGTAAACGAAAACACAAAATGCAACTTTGCACAACACGACTTTTTAGGAACCTTTTCCAAAAAATGGAAATTAATTTTGCTCAATTTTACCCACTTTGCGTAAAATGCACACAAAATTTATTCTTTGGTGGAAAAGGTATGTTGTTTAAAAAACAGTAAAAATACTAGAAATAACGCTAACGCTTTTCTGTCATTTTTTTTTAAATTAAAAGTAATGGTATTATTTGAAGATTTATTATTTGACAATATTACTAAAGAGTACAGAGCAGATGCACACACTTTTCGATAATAAAAGTTCACACACTACAATGTCTTTAAAAACTGAATCAA